AATCCAAGGGGAGGGGAACGGTGCGTGAGTCAATAATTACAGGGAGAGGAAGTACCTACGAGACCCTTACAATAGATCCGGAGGCACGGGTGCGGGAGACAGTACGTCATAATATAATAGGAGTAGACAGACTAGATAGGACTAGACGGTCCGGGAAAACCAGCCAGCTGACTGACAAGCTGGCAGACCGGTGGCAAAGAAACATCCCAAACATTGCACCACCCAGACGAGAGCAATTGAAAACTCTGTGGGAACAACTGAATAAAACCCCTTCACAGAAACTCGCCTCTCTGGTGTGGATGCAGTGACATCAGGTGGTCCCCACAGCCACGTGCCTGAGAGGGAAAGGAATGACACACATCGCCCCCAAGTGTGGATGGTGCGAGTGGCTGTATGAAGACGCAAGCACACGTGGTGGGATTGCCCAAAATCCCAGAAATGGTGAAAATGGTGGGTTTTCAACTGGAAGGAGATCACAGGCAAAAAAACAGTTCACTGATGAGCATTGCGTGCTGACAGGGCCATGCCAGAGGACTTCAAGGCAAAAGGAAGGGTGGGGCTATGTTGCTAAAGTAACCAGAGCAATTACAGTCTGGTTCATTTGGAAAGACGGGAATGCAAGGAGATTTGACAGGAAAGAAATGTAGGATAAACGAGCATTTACACTGCTGAAGATCCTACTGGCAAACAGAATCAAAGCTGACTGGCATCGTCGGTGAAACCGGAGAGGAGAACCGAAGGGTAGAACTGGTTCAGGAAAACTTGGGCAACGGGCTCAGGCTTTGCTAGAATGACACAAAGCCAGAGGATAGTGCTGGCGCCATGGCTGGGTATCGTGGAGGATCTGCAATGAGAAGACATTGGGTTAGATTAGTTGCGGACGTAGAGGCTTAGACGAACCAGGGGCACTTGGTTCCAGTCGGCGGTCACAGTAGACTGTTGGGTTAGATTAGTTGCGGGCGTAGAGGCTTAGACGAACCAGGGGCACTCGGTTCCAGTCAGCGGTCACAGTAGACTGCAAAGGGTTTGGGTCGGCAGCATAGTGTCAGACTACACCAAAAGGAACAAAAGTTTTCCTCGCGGTCGCATTGGGCCGGGGTCAGACCGTCTCAGTAGGTCTGTGAAGTAGTGGAGAAGGCTTGATCAGGAGTGGTAGCCTGTGTAGCACACCAAATGTTCGGGGCTTTCGCAAACGCCCGAACATGTTTCGGGTGTTCCGCGGAACGCCTCCCGAATGTGGTTGAACATATATTTTTTAACGATTTTTTTTTAACCACTAGTACCTCCGAGCCTGTTTTTGCCGACCCTGAATTTCGCTGCGCTCCGAGATTTGCCGATTCTGGGTACCACTCCGTTTTCTTTCTGGTACTCTCACAGAAAGAACAAAAAAAAAAAGAAGAAGAAGAAGAAGAGTTGCGGACCTGAACCTCAGAAAAGAAGAAAACAAAAAGAAACAAAGCTTTGGCCGTGATTGCAGTTGTATACATTCTTGGAAGTGGTATTGTGAGTGTGCCCTCAGTGAGGGCATCTCAGCCCCGTGGCCAGGTTGTCAGATTCCAAAAAGAGAATAGAAGGGAAAAAAAACGGGCACACAGATCCGGCCGTGAAAATGGCTGGATACATTCCCTTAAGTGCCAGTGTGATGAGCATTACAATCCTCTGACAAAACACAGCCTGAGCAGATCACACGGATTCCGCCCTGCCTCGTTGGCAGAGGACTCGTAAGAAACACACGACAAAGAAAAAAAAGAAAACACTAACAGAAAAAAAAGAAAACAGTAACAGAAAAAAAAGAAAACAGTAACAGACAAAAAAGAAAACAGTAACAGACAAAAAAGAAAACAGTAACAGAAAAAAAAGAAAACAGTAACAGAGAACAAAGAAAACAGTAACATTCAGAATGTGACCGGCTTACCTGTAAGGTGCATTCTGTGGAGGAAGACTGTGAGCACGGCCTAGACTATACCCTGCCCGACATCATTCCAGTAGAGAAAGCATTTTCTTTTTTTCCCTTTTCCTTTCACTCGCGTCGCTATTAGACTCAGATTTATGGGACATTGCCGACCCTGTGTCCCACCCCCGATTTCTTCGGGAACTGGCAAAACCTCGTAATTTCCCAACACTGGCGGAGGTACTAGTGGTTTAAAAAACAAAATCTGAAAAAAATAAAAATAAAAATTTTCTAAATTTTTTAGGTCTTTGATGTTTAACTCTGGCTAAGAATTTGAACATGCCTCCCACGCAAAAGTTGTTTGTATTATTATTGTACACAACACCTATATTTTTTGAAAAATTTTCCCGAATTTTCTGATATTAATAAATAAATAAATTTATGCTCGCATTCGGAGGGTTTTGGCTTTCGTTCGCGTTTGGTTGCGATCGTTCGTGTCGGTCACCGAACGAGAACACGATGCTTCGCACGGAGTACCTAGGGGAGAGTCGACTAGACCAGCAGGGTGGGGAACCGATATTAGGAGATGGCACTATTTATTCTAGGAATTACTTGAGATAGTGGCTACTGGGATTGGAATCGAGAATCATAAGCGAGACTGGCTAAGGCTGCCAGGATAGCTCCGGGTTGAAATGTGAGGTCCCCGGCCTCATTCCATTTGCTGCTTTTTGGAATGAAATTGAATGTGTTGATAAAAACAAAATTAAACAAATCCTGGAGGCCATGCATACTTTCGCTTCACTGAAAAACGAATCGAAAAGAACTTCTGGATGGGCAACACAGAAATTCTGGAGGCCCTAAACTTCTGCCTCGGCGCTCCAGGCTTGGGAAAATAAATAGGTTTGTTAACATAGCTATGGGGATAAAAACGAAACGAAAAGAAATTCTGGACGGGCAACACAGAAATTCTGGAGGCCCAAAACTTCTGGCTAGGTGCTCCAGGCCTGGGAAAATAAATAGGTTTGTTAACATAGCTATGGGGATCGTGGTAAGTTACCGCAGTAACTATGTAAAGTGCAAGGTGGAAATAAATTAGAGGTGGCCGCTGCTCTGAGCATACATCGAGAACCATTTGCGGTCGTCGTCCTCGTCAAATCAAATTGAAAATCAATGAGGAGACCTCAGTTGTAAAACATGAACTGGATCGGTACGAGTGTTACATGCTGCGCCTGCACACGAGGGCCATTTTCCAGGCCCTGCGTCCCCGTGTCTGTTCAGCTCGAAAGCCTGAAAAACAGGGGCCTACAGACCCTGTGTCGTTTCAGACTAAAAATGGCAGTAGCCTTTTTAGCCTGAAACGAAGGGCCATTTTCGGTCTGTCATCAGACCGACCTGCCCTGAAACTCAGGCACCGAACCAGGGTTTTAGGAACAGGCTATTTTTGGCCTGTTCCCACGACCACTTGCGGACGTTGTCCACATTATATTCACATTGCTTCTGAGGTTCTGACAAACCGCTGTCATCTGAAACGCATAGGATACCTGCCGGTACACCCATAGCCAGTCAAATTTGTAGCCAGCATTTGCTGCTGCAATTGTTTAAGTTATGGAGGAAATTGTACTGTCGTTTCCAACTCTGAATAGGCAATATTATTAGGCGCCATGTTTCCTGGCTTCAGAAGGGTGGTCTTCAACAACATAGACACCAAAAGGTCAGAGCAGACCAAAGAAGCTAATACAGACCTGGTGAGCAGACCGAAGAAGCTAATACAGCCCTGCCTCAGATGCTTCTCCTCGGTCGTCCATCCAAGCTCATGTGTTCAAGTATAACAGGCAGCTAAATACAGCCCTGATGCTCCAAACATATGAATCATTCCACCTGCTACATACCCACTCCACTTGGTTAGCAACTCCACAGCATTCTGTGCTGCTTTCATGTAGGAGCTGATTGCTGTGCAGCAGTGCAAGATTCACATGCCTAGTTCCTTGATTCCTATATAAATTGCCCCGCCAACTACATCATATACAGGAGCATTCTGAAATGATCAAATTAGGAAAGCAAAAGCAGTTTCGCGTCTCCAAGTTGTCTGGCCCATGGGTAGAGAAATGCACTTACATAAAGCAGAACAAACTCTGCGCAACGCAATATAATCAAATAGAACAAAGGGTCGTCGGGACTTTGGCCTTCTCTTGCTTTGCCTCACCACACATGTGATACACTTTCTCAGATGTGCGACAACAATAGGGATCACTAGCAGTCACTGCACTGCTTCTCTCAACACTAAAGAGCCCAGTACAGGCAGTGATGACAATCACAAATTTCACAATACCATATATGTGGTTCAAAGATCAAACAGCAAACTGAGTAGTAAGTGCGCACACCACATGGATGAAAAATAGCAGCTTGGCTCGTACATTTTTGCGATACACGAGTGCTGCCACACTCTCCCAAAGCAGAGGATGAATGCATGCATTGTTTGAATATTACTCCTTGGATATGAAGGACGGAGACAAATTCCTTAATCTCAGACCTAATAAACACTTGCATGGCTAGAATGCAAATGACAGGAGGGTAGCCAGGAGATTGCTCAGAGTAATTTCAGACAGAACAATCATGATTTCCGTGAGCCCGCGGGCGCAAGTGTGTGTGTGTGTGTGTGTGTGTGTGTGTGTGTGTGTGTGTGCGTGCGTGCGTGTGTGTGCATGTGTGTGTGCGTGCGTGTGCCTGTGTGTGTGTGTGTGTGTGTGTGTGTGTGTGTGTGTGTGTGTGTGTG